CACTACCCGATCGAACGCTTTGACTAAATCGAGGAAGAGGACAAACACGCACGCATCCTGAAGTTTAGCCATGTTGATTAACATGAGCACGAGATGTGAGGCAAAATATGTACCGCGCTTCGCGGTGGCGCCGCACTGCATGCTAGGCTGGCGCGCGTTATAAATACTGTCAAGCACGGACCTTAACTGATAGAAAAAAACCCTTGGCAGAGTGGACTGTAAGAAGGATCCCTCGAAGTTATCAGGATCTTCAACGCTGCCTTTCTTGTTACATATATATATATATATATATCGACGAGCCTACCTCCAGTCCAAGACAATGGCCATCTCTCCTGCTCGACAATCTTGACATGTAGTTCCGAAAACTTAACTGCGAGCGAGTCAACTGGCGATCGAATTAGCTCGCCTGGTATACCGTCATTGCCGACGCCTTTGTTATGCTTCAACAACATGAATGCACTGCGCGCCGCACTCGGTGTGATGCGCAGCACGCTAGACTCTGCACAATGCTGGAAGCGTGGCGGCGCGGCCGCTGCTGCCAAGGCCTCAGGGGCAGTCAGCCTGCCACGGAAGACCTGAGCGAAGTGGCCGCGCATCAGCATGTCGCGTTCACCCCGTGTACTGGTGAGCTCACCGTCAGGCCCACGTAGCGCGGAAGCTGTCGGCAGCCCACGCCCTGACAGAGCTCTCGCGATGGCGTAGGTGGTGCGCGAGTCGCCCTTGACGTGTGCCCACTGCGCCCCCAAGGCTTTCATGCCGATCCAGATCTGTCGGCCGGCCTTGACGAGCTTCCTGGAGATCAGCCCGACATCGCGAGCCGTGCGGTGCCGCATGGCAGTCATGCGCCGCACCGCTGCCAGCGCACGGGCAGCCTCGGCGCATGCTGCGCGGGCGCGCCAGCCACACCGCCCAGCGCCGGCAATCAGGCTGCCGCGGCCGCCCTCTGCTGCGGGGTGCACGAAGTCGGCGTGCAGCACTGACGCAAAGGCGCACCACGCCTTGGACAGCAGCGCAAGCCGTTCAGCACGAAAGCCTCTGTGGCGTAGCCGCACCAGGGGGGCCACCATCTGGACCACGCCCCATGAGGTTGACGAGATCCATGGCTTCCGAGGTCGCTTCTGAGGAGGGCCGAACGTGGCTCGGGCATGCTGCAATATCCACGCATTCAGCTCGGCAAGATGCTGGTCCACTGACCACCCTCTCTGGGACTGGAACGCCCACATCTTCTGATTGAAGCACTCCACTAGATGCGGGTCCGAGAGCTTGGTCTTGTCGAAGAGCACTCTGCATCTGGTTGCTTTCTCTAGCTGAACATCCTTTGGCATGGTCACATCCACCACAACAGGTCTGCGATCAATCGAGCCGTCCAAGTTCAGATCAACATTCTCATCAGCATACGCATTGCATATTGTCCGTCTGCGGCTGGCTTTGATACAAACGTAGTCAATGCGGGCCGTAGTCCTGTACGTCGACATCCAGGTCCATGTGATTGGGAAATATGTGCTAAAAGCGTACATGTTCGTGTTGTAAGGCATCGTCGAAAACGAGCACCATTGTTGTTCTCTTTGTCCATATACGCAGAACCAAGAGCTGGAGATTTCACGCTACCGACTCGAGCATTGGCGTCAATCAGCAGCACGATGGAGTAGGAGGGAAACTTGGAAGTGTATTGTAGCAGGTGCCTCTCGAGCATCTCCCAGAAGTCATCCTTGGAGCGCCTGGTGGAGAACTCATGGGGGGCGTGCGCTGAGCATATCACCAGCCCTGCGGCCAATGCCTGCGCCACGCCAACAACTGTAGTGATCCGCGCACTCGGCTGAGTGAATACGTCGGCTGAAAACTGCAATGAATTCGAAACCCAAACTTGAGAGCCGTATCGAGACTCAGGGCATGCACCTGTGAACATCTCGTAGTAGTTACCCACAACATGACGTTTGGTAGTGCTGCGCCCCTCTTGGATGCCAACGATCCCATATAACATCATCTGGAGAAGTTCAGTCTTGCTCTTCAGTGACGTGAAGGCATTACGATTGTAGCTATCTTCATCTTGCCAAGGGAGAAGTGTGCGCACATTTGCAGACGCAAGTCGAGTTCTTGACGAGTCTAGGTCCCGCTCGTCACGCGCCTTCCCTACGCTGTCCGCCTCACTCAAGGCGGGACTTGCACCTCCGAGGCACCGCTCGGATTAGTAACATAATCCGCGGGCCCCATAGGGAGGGGCTCCCGCCTGAGACTTCCTCGCAATTTACTCACAGGCGAGGCCCCCGCCTCATACTTCCTCCAAATTCAAGCCTGAGGAGCCCAAAAGTGACGACAGTTACAGGTTTCCGATGACCCGCTCGGATTAGTAACATAATCCACGGGCCCCATAGGGAGGGGGCTCCCGCCTGAGACTTCCTCATAATTCACTCACAGACGAAGCCCAAGGCGAGTGAGTGAGTGACTGACTGACTGACTGGTGATGATGATGATCATCATCATCACACTCTCTCACGCGCACACTCATCATCATCATATGTGAGCGCTGATGAGTCAGTGAGTGAGTGAGTGCGTGAGTGAGTGAGTGTGTGAGGGATGATGAGTGAGTGAGTGAGGAATGAGTGATGATGATGATGATGGTGGGTTCCTGTTCCTGCGCGTGGTGTCCAGAGAAATCAAGAACCCCACTTTGGATGTGGGGAAAAATAGCAGTGTTTGCTGGCGGGTGTCTTGTTAGGAATCTTAAAAATTTGCAATGTTTTGTGGCTAGTTCTCCTCGCACCCTCAAGGTACTGCTGCGGAAACGCTCTGCGCGACCCCCCCGATAGTCTCGCGGAAAAGATGAAAGAGGTGGAAAGTACAGTTTCGTTCAACGGTCACTAAGAGAGAGAGAGAGAGAGAAAGAGAGAGAGAGAGAGAACAAAAAGAGAGAGAGAGAGAGAGAGAGACAAACAAAAAACAAAAATATGAGAGGAAGAGGACAAAGGAGTGGCAGAAGGAGGGAACGGTATGATCTCAGTGGGAGGGCGACCATATAACACATGTAAATGCATATACATACATATATATATATATATATGCATAAGTACATAAATATATATATATGTATAAATATATATTATATATATATATATATATATATATATATATAGATGTATGCATGCTTCTTTAACTATTCCGCGCTCTATCTATATATATATATATATATATATTATATAAATATCGCTCTCTCTCTCTCTTTCTCTCTCGCTTCCGCCTCCCGTCGGTTCCTCTCTCCGTCCTCCTCATCCTGCTCCTCCTCCTTCTCCTCCTCGACCGCACGCCCTGCGCCCCAGAGTCCTACCCTCCTAGCATCCTCTTCCCCCCCCGCTGCGAGACCAGACTGAGAAGGCTTTGGAGCATCTGGGCGGGGCTCCGCGCCTCAGCATTTCTGGGGGATGCCGGGGCGCCCCCTTCCTCCCCCGTTGGGCTGCCCCGGACTTCCGACGCCGTCTTGATTTCGCAGTGCGGACCCCCCCCCAGAAGTCTAGACCCCTCACCCAGGGCTAGCTTTGCATCCCCCGTCGTTCTTTCATGGCCCTAGGCCCCGGCGAGGCCCCGCGGAGGCTGGAAACGGCCGAAGACCTCGCGTCGCGTTTCTTGTTGCCGGCGGCGAGGGGAGGCCTGGGCGGGCCGTGCCTGGGGGTCCCCACATCCAGGAGCCGAGCTCTATACACCGACGCTTTCTCCGGCCCCGCACTGAGAGTCGCGGAGGAAAACGGATCCTGGTGTTATACGGGATCCTGGTGTACAGATGTTTCGCTGTTTCCCCGGGAAGACGGGGAAAAAAATAAAAACCCCACCACCCCGACGTCGTCCCCGACCCTCGAAAAGTCTTAGGATTGAAAGACGGCCCGCCACTGGTCATGTATATGTTCCAGTTTCCGACACATCCTCTGTGCAAGCGCCCCGGTGGCACAGGCGCGATCTGTCACTGCACCGACCTTGCAGACGTGCTGCAGCGGATTTTTGCGAGGACTTCTGCCACTGCAAGACCCCGAAACGGCGAGTGAAAAACGAAGTGAGTTTCGCGCGGTGTTTTTTAGACTTTTTTCCTGGCCCAAACATATCCGCGCGAAATTCACCTCGAAATCCGGAACGAAATTCGCCAGGACACTCCGAGCCCATCCTATCGTTTTCCGAACGAAATCCGCTCTGCGATGTTGGCGTCATGAGACCTGCCCCCGGGCTCCCCCAAGGGTTCGCCCCGGAGCCGGACCTCCTGTGATACGGCGGCGCCCCCGGCGGCCTGGGGTTGCCCAGAGCGCACGGGCCCCCAAGGGACCGCCCGGGGGCCGCCCGGGGGGTCGCCGCGGGCGCCCCTTCCGTGCATGGCGTTGCGCTGCACGACCCTTCGTTGCATCGCCCTGCTCTGCCTTGCACTGCGCGGCACTGCTTCGGAGGGAAGGAGGCCCCTGGTGGAGGTCGCGCAAAATTCATCGACACCCCAGGGGCTGAGAGTAAGCCGACACCAGAGCCGAAGATCCTCATCCTCCGCCTCCTCCTCCTCCTCGAAGATCCTCGTCCTCTGCCTGCCTAATCCTCCTCCTCCTCCTCCCCCTCCTCCTACTCCCCCTCCTCCTTCTCCTCTTCTTCCTCCACCTCCTCCTCCTCCTCCTCCTCCCCCTATTCCTGCTCCGTCTCACTCTCATCATTATGACTGTGCTGGTGATTATAAGTATAAGTATGACTATGAGTTGTAGAATTAATATCAGTAGTAGATATAGTGATGATGATAATGCAAGTTCCAATAACATGAACGAGAAGAAGAAGAAGGAGAAAAAGAAAAACTGTATTATTACGATTTAGTTATCAGCATTACTAAGCTTACTATTATTACTAATAGTATTATTGGTAGTATCAACATGACTATGATCATCCTCCTCCTCCTCCTCCTCCTCCCCCTCCTCCTCCTCTTCCTCCTCCTCCTCCTCCTCCTCCTCCTCCTCCTCGTCATCATCATCCTCCCCCTCGGGGCTGGCCTTCTCGGCGATCTTCTTCTGCCTGCCCTTGGCCTTGTCCAGGTACCTGGCCGCCCGGAGGACGGCGACCTGCGAGAGGGGGGGGGGGCTCCACGCCCGCGGCGCCAGGGGCGCGAAACGCCGTGGCCTCCGCGCCCTCGCACAGCTCCCGCGGAGAAGGGAACCTCTGCTGCCCAGACCGCGCACCTCGGAGCGCGATCCCCGTCGCGCCCCCGTGGGTGACCTGCGCTCAGCGCGCACGGGAAGGACGCACCCTGGGGACGCAAGGGCCTCAGTTAGAAGGCCGTGCCGACACCCTTCGAGCGCGGCGCGGCCAGCGAAGGCGGCCAAGGACGGGCCGAAGGGGGATGATGCAGGGGCAACCTTGGAAAGTCGCTCGTCCTCACTGTGCGCGTTGACTGTCCAGCTCTGTCTGGGTGGTCCCATCTGTGGCAGCGCTCGTGGAACCGGACGAGTGCCCTGCAGGAGCGGGGCTCTGGCCCCACCGCCGCAGGAGCTCCTTGCAGCCATGGAGGGGAGCCCGAAAGAGAGGACTGCCTCAGCAAAGATAACTCGTCCTGAAACGGCGAAGCATCGCCGAAAGCTCTGCGACAGGCCCCCGACAGCAAAACCGCGCGTTCCTGGGCTGAGGCACCTAAGCCCCCAATCGGCAGTGAATGAGCGATTCGGAAAGGACTCCCTCTGAGCCAATCATCACACTCTCTCGGTGACCCTGGTCCATCGTACCTCGCCTCGAGGGAGGCGAAGGGGAGGGAAGGGGGGGGACCGAATTGATGATCGCAACGCGGATCTTTCAGCGCCCGCAGCCAGTGGCGGAAGGAATTGCCAAGAGCAAAACAACATGCCAATGCCCAATGCTTCGCGGGACCACTGGTGGGTAACCCTGCAGTGCTGGACTTTCTTGACAAGGCTGCCAAACTCTGAAGATCTATAGCAAGTTCTGAACGACCTTCTCCGCCAACACGATTTACCGCGGACGAAGCTGGAGCCAGTCGCTGCTGCTTATCGCAAGCAGCCGCCGATTGCCATACGTGGCAGGTACGTCATGCTGGTCTCTCAAAAGGCTGTCACCGTAGGCGCGAAGAAAGAAGGATCGGCCGTGTTCTGCCGCATGCAAGCGGCCCACAGAGGTGGCACTTTTTTGTCGACGAGGGCTGGCCCCGAAACAAAACAAAGTATGTGCGTTGACCCAGCTCAGGCCCGCTCTCTCGGAGAAGAACCAGCTCAGGCCAGCTCTCCCAGAGAAGAGGGAGAGCAGGCTGAAACGACACCTGGGAGGCTGGGCCAGGGGTACGATAAGGCGCGTGCTACAGTCAACCCGTATAATAAGGACGCACGACAAGGATGCAAGGGCCTCGGAAGGCCATGTCGACGCTTTGCGAGCGAAGCGCGGCCAGCGAAAGCGGCCAAGGATGGGCCGAAGGGGAAGGATGCAAGGGTAACCTTAGAAAGTTGCTCATCCTTACTGTGCGGGTTGACCGTATGGCTTTACTGGGTGCAGCACCTCATGATGCCCAGCCGCAAGGGACTCCGCCGTGCCATCTGGTATCGCAGAAGCGATGGGGGAAGGAGGGGCTGCGATGGCCGCGCAGGGTGGCCCATCAGCTCTCGATGACGCGCTTGCAGACGCTGCTCGGCTCGGCCGCATCAGCATGGTCGTCCTCCCCAAGGAGCCCGCCCACGAGGAGGCCCGCGTGCTTCAAGTTCCGAGCGAAGAAATTCAGGTACGCCACGCCTGTCTTCGTGCGGCCGTGCACTATCTTGAGCGTGATCTTCCCGAACGACATCCACTTCGTGCCCGTGTGGACTGCCCCGGCGCCAGCCTTGAAGGAGATGCCAGTGCCAGAAGCCCACCCGATCGCGCGGATCTTCTGCTCCACCCACTTCCCAGTGATGTTGATGCCCATGAAATACGTATCCGCGCAGGCACCCCCCACCCGCTGGGCGTCAGCGTCCACGCGGAGGAGCACCTTGGATCGGCTCGCCCTGATGGAAGAAGGAAAAACGCCATAAACATAAATTTTGGCGCTCCGCGCGGATCTCTCGGATCTGCGCTGAGACCCCCCTTCCCTGGCGCGTCCCAGGAGCGCCAAAGTTTCTGTTTATGGCGCTTTTTCGTCTTCGACCTGAGGGGCACGTGGAGCAGGGCGTGGACGCCTTGCTGCATCAGATCGAAGTGCTGCCCGTGCACGTTGACCAGGTGCGGGTCGCCGATCCCGTGCACCTCCGTCGGGCTGGGCGTGTGCAGCAGGCCGCCGCCCGTGCCGGCAGTCGGCAGGGCAGGGTGGGGCGTCGGCGCGCTCGTCGGCGAGGGCGTCGGCGAGGCCGTCGGAGGGAAGGTCGGGTAGTGCGTCGGCGCGCTCGTCGGCGCGCTCGTTGGCGCAGCCGTCGGGGCGCTCGTCGGGGCGCTCGTCGGTGCGCTCGTGGGCGCGGCCGCCGGGGCGGCCGTGGGCGTGGCCGTCGCGGCGGGCGTCGGGGCAGCCGTGGGGTCGCCTGTCGGCGCCGGCGTCGGCGCGGGCGTCGGGCTTGGAGTCGGAGCGTCTGTGGGCGCGCTGGTGGGCGAATCCGTCGGTGCCTGCGTCGGTGCCTGCGTCGGTGCAGGCGTCGGTGTAGGCGTCGGTGGCGGAGGTGGAGACGGCGTCGGAGAAGCCGTCGGTGCCGCGGTCGGCGAGGACGCCGGCGCAGGGGTGACCAGACTCTCGAAGTACTCCCTGGCCGTAGGGCGGCACGTCGCGGCCCCCTGGGCGACAAAGTAGTCGGACGTCCCGGCGAGGGCGAAATTGCGGCCCCACGCCTGAACGTGATCTTCGGGGTGGTAGGTCAGGACCTGGAAGCCGATCTCGAACTCGCTGGTGTTGTTGAACTCGGCCATGAAACATCGCTTCGCCTGGTCAACGGGTGTCGACGTCGCATCCGGACAGGTAATGTTGGTCATGTTGTTCGGATCCGTTGGGTTGTCGCAGCCATGGCCAAACATCATCGAGGTTGCCTTGAGTCCAAATTTCCCACCAGAACTGGAGGCATACTTCCGGGCGGTCCTGCCCGATATCGCTGTTGAGATAGATTCGGTGGTGTATGATGACAACAGAACTGGGTTGTCGGTTACGGTGGTTCCAAACTCGTACACCTTCAAGTCAAAATCGATTTCACCATCAACCGTGTAGACAGCGGTGATGCCGTCGAGGAAGAGTATTTCGTTCTCCCCGTCAATATAATGGTCAATATCGCAGATTGTGATCTTAGGCATCACTGGAACCTCAGGGCACCAGGTGTGAAATCTGACGAACTCCCCCTTGAGAGTTGTTCGTTCCCCAACAAGAAGATTCACCAGCGCCCAGCCTCCATTACTAATCTGGTTCCAGTTGGTGTTCCTGGGGACATAGGCGCTTGTATTCACCATGACTAGATCGTACAAGACTCCATTTGGAAGACGCCCGACTCCATAATACCTAAGTTCCCTGGGCCTATCCGAATCCGGACCCATGCCACCAAGATTTGAATGAGACCCTCTGGCTTCTGTAGCGTGCAGATCAACAAACTCAATCCAATCCTCACAATCTATGTCGCGGTCAAATGGCTGTGACGGGGGACACGCTTCTGGACATATGCAACAGCTTGTTGCAGAGGTGAAGTCATCATCGTCATAGTACGGGTCGAAGCAAATGCCGTCAAATGGTTCAGAATAATTGTGCGAATAGATGTCGCACGAATTACCAAAGGCATTCGTCGCGTCGGAATCCACACATTCTGTCGGTGCTGGTGTTGCTACTTCATGCGACAGAAAAGCTCGCATTGACGCGAACATTCGCGACAATGTTCCAGTACGGTTCGAAGCGCGTTGAGAATGACCTCTACGGGCATACTTGTGACTCTCGTGCAACAAAGCTGCTGAGGTCCGCGACGCGCCCACTGAGGTCTGACTCATGAAAGTATCCGACACGAGAGTCCCACATCCCCATAATTCCCGTGCGCCCTCGGAAACACTCATACATGCGGCACGCGTGTCCGTCGCATACACGGACTGTAAGATGAGCGCAGCCCCCACTCGCACTGCGCGACACGATGCGCCACAGACGCCTGAAGAAAACGGAGCCATCACTGATAGTAGTGTTTGTGTGCAGCTTGGTGATTCAGAGAAAGCTGCGGTTCAGCTGCCTTCTGAGATCGAGACTTGAGCCAGAATGGCTTCGGATGCTAGAGCAATCAGCACGACGAGCTTAAAAGGATGTCGTGACCGCCGCCTGCGAGGGAACAGCCTCTAGTTGCCCAAGTGAACCGCCTGCAGGGCCATCAGACGTGAGCCATAAGGCTCCGTGGAGGCAGCGATCGAAGCGACGGCGGCAGGAAGAACGCCCGTGACGCCGAGCGCAATCTCACAAGCTCCTTGAGTGCAGGTGGTCTAGGGGGTTCGCTCTTCCAACCTCTCTTCGGGAAGGAATATGCCCCTCCTCCCAGAAAGCGCTGGATCCCCCCTTCCCCGTGAAACTCCTGTGGACGGTGAGGCAAAAGTGCAAGAACGGAGAGGACAAGGGAGAGGAAGACTCACGACTGAAGACGGTGCATAAGAAAAGACGGAGACGAAGAATGATATGATCAACCGTGGAGACCGACTCTGTCTGCATACTCCGCGACGTGAGACCCACCACACAAGCAAATAACTACGCCACGTGCATACACATAAAATGTGTTTGTGCATGTGCACATAGATACATATATGCATGCATGCATGCATGCATACATGCACATGTATACATGCATACACGCATACATACATAAATGCATACATACCTGCATACATGTATGCAAATATACATGCATATATGCATACATAAATGCACACACATACACGCATGCATGCATGAATGCATACCTATAAACGTATACACACACATGTATAGCATGTAAGTATACGCATTCATACATATACACATACATACACAGTTGCGGAATGTGTGCTTATGCATACACAAACGGAAACAGTAACATGAATAGACAACCACATATACATAGACATGTACCCATATACACACACATGCATATACACATGACTATTATATCTATATATAGATATATGTATATATATATATGTATAGATATGTATGCACGCACAACTACAAATACGTGCATATAACACATACATGCACATACAAACATGAAGATGTGCACACATATACGTGTACGTGCATGCATGTATACATGCATACGTGCATGCATGCATGCATGCATGCGTACATACATAAACGCAGACATACAGACATGCATGCATACATGCATCCATACACACACACATGCATGAAAAGTAGTATGCAAATCTGCCAGAGTGCACGTGGGCACGGAGTGGGCGTGTCCCCAGATCTTGTGCCCAGTCCCCTGAGCCTCACTCCTCGATCCAAAAGGTTTTTACGGGGGCAGACACCCCGACCCCGATTGCTGAAGTGCTCCACGTCGGATTAGCGGAGCGCCGCTGCATGCGCACCGACATTGCTTGCGTGGCTCCCATCAGCGGGGCGTCTCTCCGCTGATTGGCTTCACACCTACTGTTTCACTCCAATTCGCAGAGCACCGTTCCGCGAATTGGCTTCGAACCAGGGGGGTAAGATTGCTTCGCTCCCTTTAGCGGAGCGCCACTCCGCTTACCGGCCTTAAACCATAGGATTACGACTGTTTCGCTTCCATTAGCGCTGCGCCGCTCCACTAATTGGCCTCCATCCAGAGGATCCGCCACAATGCCGCTGGGCACGGAGTGGGCGTGTCGTCGGGTCCTTTGCCCAATCCACTGACCCTCAGTCCTTGATCCTGAGGGTTCTTAAGGGGCCTGGAGCCCAACTTCTCCTCAAAACTTCTCGAGCTTAGCGCGCTTCCCCTGGGCCTTGGCTCGTTTCCCCTCGTGATTTGTTCGGGCCCAAGAGAGCCCCAAGACGGGCCAAAAGGGCAAGAGGCCCCGAAGACAGTCCAAGAGGGCTCCGAGTCGCCGAACGATCGCTCCAAGACGCTCAAGATTGCCCCCAGACGGCCCAAGAGGCCTCCAAGACGTTCCAAGGGGCCTCCTCCCAAGAGGGCCCCCGAGAGGTCAGAATCACTGATTTCCCATAAGTTTTTGAATGTTTTTAGCGTTCTCGCCTGTTCTGCTTCCCGACGCTCCCAGACGGCCCTAGGGGTGCCCAAGATCGCCCCAAGACGACCCAAGAGGCCTCCAAGAGGGTCCCACAACGGCCAAAGAGGGCCCCAAGACGGCCCAAGACGACCCACGAGACCCCTAAGACGGCTCCAAGAAGGGGCCCAGATGGGAGACCCGAACGGACATTTCGAGCCCTCGGCCCCTGAGGGGCCCCTAGGAGGCCACAAGCGGTCCCCAAGAGGCCCCCGGGAGGCCCCAAGATGCCCCAAAGAGGCCCAAAGAGGCCCCCACGAGGCCCCCAAGAGGCTCCCAAGAGGCCCCCAAAACTGCCCCCAAGAGGCCCCCAAGAGTGCTGGGACGAGAGCCCAAGAAGCATCCTTGAGAACTCTGACCCACAACCCAGGCAAGGTGGCGGGATGGGCCAAAGGCCAGCACGGGGACGGAAAGAGCGCTGCAGGAACTTGCCCGAGATGGCTCCTGGCACCCTTCGCTCTGGGGAGCCTTGGCGTGAAGAGCTTGTTGCGTCATCGCTCTCTGTTGGGAGCCCTAGTGTTCAAAGACTTTTACGTTGCCGCTCGCTCTTGGGAGCCTTGCTGTTCAGAGCTCTTTACGTCACCGCGCTCTGGGGAGCATTGGTGTTCAGAGCTCTTTACGTCACCGCTCGCTGTGGGGAGCCATGGTGTTCCTTGGCGTATCTGGGATTTCTTGGGAGTCTTTGGGAGCCCTTTGGGACCGTTTTGGGACTCTTGGGCCGTCTTGGGGCCAGCCCAGTCCCCACACCGAGCAGCCCAGTCCCCACACCGCCTCTTCGAGTCCTCTTGGGGGCCTCTTGGGGCCATCTTGGTGCTCTCGTGGGGCCATCTTGGGGCCCTCGTGGGCTGTCTTGGGGCCCTCGTGGGCTGTCTGGGGAGTCCCATTGGGGCCTCTGGGGCCGTCTTGGGGTGATCTTTGGGACCCCTTGGGCCGTCTGGGGCCCTTCAGGGCCCGAAAAGGCGAGAACCCCCAAAACATTGAAAAACCTTAGGACTAAACAATGCGTTTGGCCTCCTGAGGCCCTCTCGGGGGCCCTCTTGAGGGCCGTTTCGGGACTCATCATCCTCATCCTCAACACGCTCATTATCCTCATCATCCTCATCATCCTCATCATTCACAGCACCCTCGACATCATCCTCATCCTCCTACGCATCCTCATCATCCTGATCATCCGCATCATCATCCTCATCATCATCATCATCATCATCATCATCATCATCATCATCATCATCATCATCATCATCATCATCATCATCAGCATCGCCATCACAACAAACATCATGAGCATCATCATCCGCAGCATCATCCTCAGCATGCTCATCATGATTAACAGCATCCGCATCATCGTCCTCATCGTGAACATTATCCTCAGCCTAATCCTCATCAGCATCGCCACCATCATCATTAGTATCAGCATCATCATTTGCATCACCATCGTCATCGTAATCGTCAGCATCATCATGATCATCATCATCATCGTCATCATCATCATCGCCACCCTCACCATTAGTATCCTCATCTCATCTGCATCCTCATTATCAGAACCTGCATCATCCTCGGCCTCCTCCTCTTCATCCTCACTATGCTCAATGTCCTCATCATCCTCAGCAGTCTCAGCATCAGTATTACCAGCATCATCGTCATCATCATCAGCACCATCATCGTCGTCATCAGCATCGTCCTCGTCATCATCGGTTTCCGCATTCTCATCATCATCCTCGTCATCATCAGCATCCTCAGCATCATCATCATCCGCATCCTCATCATCCTCATCATCCACATCGTCCTCATCATCGTCCTAATCATCCCCATCATCCTCATCATCCTCATCATCCTCCTCATCATCCTCATCATCATCATCATCATCATCATCATCATCATCATCATCATCATCATCATACTCATCATCATCATTATCCACATCATCCTCAGCATCCCCCTCCTCATCCCCATCATTATCATCATCAGCATGATGATCATCGTCATCACCGTCATCATCTGCATCATCCTCATCATCCTCATCATCATCCCCGTCATCCCCATCATGATCATCCTCATCACCATCCTCATATTGCTCGCCGTCATCATCATCATCATCAGAATCATCATCATCACCATCATCATCGTCATCATCATCATCGTCGTCCTAATCATCATTGTCATCATCATCACCATCATGAGCAGCATCATCTGTATTACCACCATCCTCACCATCCTGATCATCAAAACTCATCCAAATCCTCATCATTACCATCAGCATCATCCTTACCATCCTCATCCTCATCCTCATCCTCATGCTCATCCTCTTCATCCTCATTATCCTCACTATCCTCATCATCCTCAGCAGTCTCATCATCATCATCATCGTTATCATCAGCAGCATCATCAGCAGCACCACCACACCATCATCATCATCATCATCATCATCATCATCATCATCATCATCATCATCGTCATACCAATCATCCTCATCATCAACACCACCATCATCATCATCGTCCACCCGCTCGCCGCCCATCTCCTCATTGTTCTCCCCTTCCCCCCCCTCCTCCACCACCACCTCCTCTTCATTGTCTTCCTATTCCTCATTCTCCGCAACTCCCACATCGTCCTCCTCCTCCTCCTCCTGGTCCTACTCCTCTTCCTCATCATCATAATCATCATCAGCATCATCATCATCCTCATCATCATCCTCATCATCAACATCAGCATCATCACCATCACCATCATCATCATCAGCAGCATCAGCATCCCCCTCCCTCTTCCTCCTCCTCCACCTCCTCCTCATCAGGCTCCACCTAATCATCCTCCTCCTCCTCCTTCTTCTCATCCTCCTTCATGTCTTTTCCTGATGAATAACTCCTCCCTGTCGCACCCCGAGGCCAGTCGGAAGGACGGGCCGGGGGCTTCGGCTGAGACTTCCTTACCATCTATGAGCCTCAAGC